AAAGTCTTCAAGATTTTTGCCGTATGAATTTCTTAGATATTTTACATTTTTACTGATGATTTGACTTGTTTGTGTATGTGGTATGAGGCAATAATCTTTTTATTTTCTAGATGTACTTCTGTGAGTTCTTAATATTTTCTCATGGCCATTATTAGATATAACGTCTACGAACATTTTCTCCTAGACTGTGAATATGAGTCTTTAAATTGTTTTTCGTTGTTTTGATGTTGTCTTTTGAAGCATACAACTTTTTAATTTCAATAAAATATAATTTATCATGACCATTCTCTGATCCATCTTGATTTGGCATATACCATTACTGTTGACTTCACCCAAAGTCTTCAAGATTTTTGCCGTATGAATTTCTTAGATATTTTACATTTTTACTGATGATTTGACTTGTTTGTGTATGTGGTATGAGGCAATAATCTTTTTATTTTCTAGATGTCTTTCATCTTTTTGTTTTTCTATTTTTGTTGTTTTATCTTTTATAAGCTGCATGTTTTAGTGAGTTATTATAATTCCTTTGATATTTACTTTGATTTTTTTGTTTTTAATATTTTGTTCTAATATTGTAAGAATTTATTTTTAACCCACAAAATATACCTATATATACATACATATATCATGTATAATAAGTTGTTTTGAGACACATATACATTGTAGAATGGCTAAATGGAGCTTAATTCGTATATTTTATGTCATATTTTTATCTTTTTGGTGGAAATAACACTTTTGTGAAGAAAATCTACTCTTAGCAATTTTCATGAATATCTTATTAACTAGAGTCACCATGTTGTATAATAGATCTCTTAAATGTATTCCTTCTGTCTAATTGAAATTTTGTATCCACTCAGCCACCATGTCTTTGATCCCCACTATTCTACTCTCTATTTCTACAAATTCAGGGTTTTTTAGATTCTACATTTGAACTAGATCATGTAGTATATATCTTTCTGTTTCTGAATTTTTTTACTTAACATCATTTTTTCCCAGGATCATATATTTTGTCACAGATGAGACAATTGCTTTCTTTTGGATCATGTCTGTAATCATAGCCCTCAAGAGGCTAAAGGATGAGGATTGCTGACAGGCCAGCCTGGCTTAGATAGTGAGTTCAAGGCCAGCCTGAACCACATACCAGACCTTGCCTCAAAAAAAAAAAAAAAAAAATTCCTGTCATGCGTATAAATGTCACAATTTCTTTATCCATTTATCTATTAATATAGATTATTTAATGTGTTACTGTCTGAATGAAAGGTCTATCTCTGTACCAGCAATCATATTCATCACCAAAATGTCTGATAAATGTCCAATAATCTTTCAAGATCTAGCTCAGCTAACATTTCCGTATGAAGATTTTCTCATAACATCTTCAAATATGCATTCCCTAAACCTGTTCATTCATTTATTAGAAATCATCAGTATTACAGGAATCACTGTATTTATTTGCTGTGAAACTGTGTACCTCCCTAGAGTAGACTATCATCTAAAAAAAGGAGATCATGAAGTATTCATCTCATCCCCACCCTCCATTAGAAAATGCTGTAATTTCATGTAATTAAACAAAGCAACATTTAAAATTATCTTATTTAAGTGAATTTTTGTGGATATAATATAGTGAAGAGAGGTAGTGGCTTCCGTTGTCTATAAGAGCAGGACAGATTTTAGAAAACTCCAACAGAAGGTTATGAGGTAACTGGTACAGTGAATTTCAAACAGATGGTTGGCAAAAATGCCAAGCCCTGTCTTAATCTGTTTCCTTTGATAACTGTTTGGTGAGCCTTGATGTGGATTTGGTTTGATACCCAAGTAGTCCTTGTTTACTGCATTCTTTTTCAGGATCACCCAGAAATCACTTAGTATAAAGGTTTATCTGGTTCACATGGCAGTTTTATCTGGATTGAATGAGTCATTTTGTTAAAAGACTTAACGTTGTTAATTTTTCTGATTCTGATTTTTTTTTAGAAAGTTCCATGTTAAATAGGTTAAAAACACAAATTTCTTTGTTTTGGTATGATCACTGTCACAAAGAATTTTGTCACAGGAAGTCTTGTCTGTGGCAACTGGATGTAGTTTTATGCCTCTCTTTGAAATTATGCTTCTGTTGTATTTCATTTGATTATAAATACTTTGATCTGACTACCTACAGAATGGTGAGGAATTTAACAAAAATTCTAATTATAAACAATGTCAGAAAATGATTCTTCACCTTGACTACACGTGGACACCTGGAAAACTTTTAAAACTATAATGTTCAAGTTCCACCAGAAGAAAATTGAACCAATATCTTTGATTAGGCCTAAAATTTTTTGAAGTGCTGTTTGTAATACCTAATACCAGGTGCTTCATAAATTTCTGTTGTTTAAACAGTCCTTTTCAAATCATAGTTCAGGATCAAACTTTTAATACATCTTCAAAAATCTTGAGTGGCCTAGATTCTTGCTAGTACTTGGTAATTCTCACTGCTTCTAAAGTGGGAGAAAACTATAGTAGTATACAAGATCCTAATGAGATAACTAACAATGTGAAATAGGAAGAAAAGGGCTAAAGGTGTAGGGAAAGTGGGAAGGGTAGGGAAAGGGAATAAGGGAAAAGAAAAAGATAGGAGAAAATGAAAAAATGGAAGTAAAGTGTTTGTAAATGGGGAGGGAAGGAGCGGGTGAAGGGAGGGCAGGAACAAGGGGAAAAAATGAGAACCAAGACCTGTCAGGTAAAGATACAAGATCCAAATAATGAATGTAACTGTACTGTATACCTAAAATGTACCAGTAAACTCAATAAAAAGGAAGAAAATAAATACAGTGGGAGAGATGTTAAAACAGATCACTGGATGGACTTTTTGATAATATGAAAAGACAGTCAGATATCCCATATAATATTGAATAATGTTAGCTTTATTATTATAATAGAATACAGTAGGACATAAAATTAAGAGCTTTTGCTAAACTCTGTAAAGGAATACATGCATCTGCCATAAACAACCTTGACTCATATTAAGTTTTATTGCCACTTCAGTGCACTAAGGTGCAATAAACATTCAGTGTCATCTTTTTAAAAAAATTCCTGGGAGTACACAGGACCTGTCCTCTATAAGAGTGTCTCTTTATGTTCAAGGAAGACATACCTAGTATTACATGGTTTAGCAAAGCACTGTAGAAAAGCTACATAGAATAAGTTGTGTTCGATAACTGTGCAATCAGTTTATACAATAAAATATTACCCACATATACTCACAAACTAAGAAATGATAAGAATGCAGTCCTTGCATAGCAGAAAGCAGACTAGTAAGAAATATTCACATCTCATGAGCAAAATAGAGGCCAAAAGTTTGCCAGGAGGGGTCTGGTAGATAAAATGTTCTCAAATACATTAGGTTAACGTCGAAAATAACAAGATAAACAACAACAAAGAAGTTAGAGCCATATTTATTTTATTTCTATACATATATCTACACATAATGCCAGAAGATGAAATGTCCTTGGTAGGGCATTTATGGGCCTAGCTCATGAAATTTAGGCAGGACCAATTCAAACAACGTAGCACATTTAAAATGAAAACCAGAGTTGGTTTAGGAAAACAGTGTATTTTCCTACATCATTGGATAGCAGCTTTTTGAGAAAAACATTGCTTAAAACTCAGGTATGTTTTTCAACTATTTTATTTGGCAATTAAGCTAAGAGTTTATGTCATAGTATTATAAATGTGTTTAGACGATGACACGTTGGTTCTGAACACTAAATTTAAATATTTGTGAAACTGCATCAGACAAAGGAGACTTCAAAAATACCTTCTTCATAAATGTTTATCTCTAAAACATCTGGGCGGTAATGAAACAGACTAGAATTTTAGAGGGAGTATTAATGGACCTCTTTTATTTAAAGCCCTTACATAGAGTACCTACAAATATATTGCTACAATATAAATGAAATGTAATAATATTACTCAATAAAAGCTATTTTATGTACATTCTTTCATGTATTTTATATTGAATGCTACATATGGTACAGCACTTATTGAAGTAGTTGGCATCAGCGAATATAGCAGTATTATACAGTTGATTTTCTAGTTCCGACTAATGCCTCCCATTGTCTTTTTATGTTACATTAGCCTAAAATATGAAAGTGTAGTACAGCAGAACTTTAGCAGATAGCAACTCATGTACTGTTGGACCCCAGACAGTTTTAAATTGTGGGCTTTCCGTACATACGTGGACTTCTTGCCCCTAAGTTTCAAGTTCCATCTGCTTCCTACAGGCTGTTCTGTTCTTAAATGCAGGCTAAGTGTATTTCTGGAGCATTTAACAACATTCTAACAGCTAAGAGTGGTTATTCCTACACAGTATTTTAAGAACATAACTTTAAAAAAAAGTAAAAAAGTACAATCTCATGCTTAATATTTACATATAATTTATATATTCTGTTTTTGTTTGCTAGTCATAAATTTCCATCTAAAGCTTTTAATGTAGTTATACAAAAGAATACATTCAGCAATTTCTAAAGCTTGCAAAATATTTTTGCCCTTCTAAAACATCTTCACAATGACAGTCAAGTGATTATTGGACCAATGTGCCATTTGGAAATGGGATGGAAATGGCAGTATTTTTTGAATTATGTAGTTAATCAATTTATTTATTTTCAGCTTCTATTGAATGAACATCTCTATTAAGATGATTGTTCATGAAGTCTAGTGGTAAAAGCTTAGATGATACCAAAATAGCCTATTTAAGGCATTTCTCTCCATCAGATTAAATGCGTTCGGCAGTGAGCAACTGCGTCTTTGCCAGTGAAATTTCCATGAATTTTAAAATAGCATGAATAGCAAAATAATGTTTTGTGGATTTTTTTAAAAGGGAAAAAATAATAAGAACTTTTTAGCTTTGGAAATAAAATGTTAAAGCTATACATCAGTCTAAAAAACAAAGCAAAAACATAAACACGCCATAGTTTGTGCAATAAAGACATAGATTGTTATAAATTTTCTTCATTAAACATTTATAGTTTATTCTTTTAAACACCTTCACACAAAAATATTTTGACATATACAGTATCTCTTTTAGAATATTTGGAAATATATATCTACAAAAGACCTAGGGGTTGTATTAAACTACTTTTCTCCGTATTTTTCTACGTTTCCTCACATCTTTGGATCTTCTTTTCCCTCCTTTCCTCTCTTGTCTGTCTATCTCCTTCTGACATCATTCTGCTGTCTTGCTTCCCTTCTCAGAATCCTGTTTCCAAGCTGCGTACCCTGCTCTGCCCTCAGCTGCCAGACAGGGGTCTTTTGATCTTGTATGAATTATGGAAATAAGGAAACCTTCAGATTCTTTAAGACAGAGGCTCTAAAGAAGATGGGAATTACTGTGTTGAGAACAGAAAGCAATTCCCAGTGCAGAGGACTGAACAACAGAATGTGAGTAAAAGAACCTATTGGTGGGGTGTAGGGGCTTTTAGCTGAGGCTCTCTGTTTAAATACGTCGCCCAATAGACTAAGTTAAAGATTCCAAATAGCAACGGGAAGGCTATTCTTGACAGTCGGTCAATTTTGCTGACACTGTTAAAGGTTTTCTTGGGCTCTGGTGGTTTTGTTTCAGGCTTGACTTCTTTTGGTTCTATTGTTGCGCTTTTAGCAATGGTAGCTAAACCGGGGTCACCTCTGGCCAAATTAGGGGTATAGCTGGTGGCTGTTGGAGCGTAAGTGTTGTTTTTCTTAATGAGAGGATCTTTTACTTTCTTTGGCTGTAGAAGGAAAGAGTAAAGCAGTTTGTTTAGTAAACTGAGAAGCAGAATTACAAGATGCTGAGCCCAATGACCCTTGCTTTAGAACCCAAATGAGTGCTTTATTTAAAAAGCTAGGAAATGTACCTTGCGATCGTCTTCTGGGGATAAGTTAAAAACACAGACACTACTTTACAGTCTTCATCATCAAGAAGTGGACTCTATTTTTTCACTACAATATAGACTAGAAAATAACTCTGCCAGAGAGATATTGTGAAAGCCTTGGATCTTAAACTCAAAAGTCATCCCAGCCTCAATCTTGACATGGTGGAAATACGCCCTTGCCGGGAAAATAAGCTGGACAAAGACTCCCGAATGGACTGAGCCCACATGCGTTGAGAGGCCCAGCTGACTGCTTGTGCCAGGCCCCGGACATGGGAAACAGGCCACCCCCCAGCTCTAGCAGTGGTGTGAGTGAGCTCAGGTCCCTCCAACAGAATGCTACCAGACTGCTCCTGGCCCCCAAATCAAAATCACGAGCGAAGCTCTTGTTGTTTCAGGCCCCTAAGTTTGGAGGTGGTTTGGCTTTCCAGCAATAAATTGCTGTGCCAATGATCATTTGCTGCTTCTTACTATGTTTTACATGGGCGAGTAATAAAGCAGGGTTATTTAGGGAATCATGATTTCCATCCTTGTTCAGTCTCAGCTGCTCACAGAGGAGTCTGTGCAATGACTGACTACGGCAGTTCTTCTCAGAGTTTCTTTCACTTACGCAGTTCAAGAAAATGACCATGTACAGAGCTGTGTGGGTCAGTACAGCTGCCACTGCCAGTGTGAAAGCAGGGCATCTGAAATGTGGCAGGTCTGCTTTGCGATGTAACTATAAAATATGCAGAAGATTTTAAAGACTTACTATAAAAAATACAATCTAATATACTCCCTTAAAAATATTTTGTATGAGTTATGTGTTATAATGAGAATATGTTTTCATGCATTTGCAAAAAACACATCCTTAACTTAATTTCCTTTATTTACACTTTACACTAATAGAAAATTTTAAATTGTACTTGTGGCTTATATTTGTGCCTTATGCTATGTTTCTGTTAGACAGTATAATTCTAGGAGAGTGGGTCCTCTTCTTTTGAACATATTTAAATGTGCAGATGTCTATTTGGGGAAGAGAAATCCCTTGACTTTACAGAAAATTAAGGATAGTTAATTTTGCAACTCAATTCAATTAAAGCATTATAGCAACACGTTTATGATCAAAGTGATCAGGGTCAGAAAACAACCCAATAATGGTTTTCACATTAAAAACCTTGTAATGGACTTGGAAAATAACAGAGTCAAGTAAGTTTGTTTGCTTCTCATTCAGATTGGTTAAACTTCTTATGTCAGTAGAGCACCTCTCTTGAAACTCCTTCACTCTGCCTGCATATCTGTTCACGCAGACAACCTATTCTTTCGACAGTAAAAAATTATAGTGGCGCTTAGTCATTTGCAATATAAGAAAAAAGGAAAAGAATGCTCATGAGGCTTCTTTCTGCATGCTTTATCTAATCCCCTTTGTCCCTAATATTCCATCTCAAAGGTTTAAGGAGACATTTTGTGATATATCATGGGGACTTTTAAAGCATTTACCTTTTCTGGAACCACGCTTTTGCCATCCCATGCGTAGCCTCTCTTGGTGAAATAATTTACTGTGGCAAACTCAATCAAAGCAGAGAACACAAAGGCGTAGCACACTGCAATGAACCAATCCATAGCTGTTGCGTAAGCCACCTTGGGAAGGGAATTTCTGGCACTTATACTTAAAGTTGTCATGGTCAGTACAGTTGTCACTCCTGTGAGTAAAGAAATTAAGTAAATATGTGGGTTCCTACTGTGAAATTTTATCACCAGATGTAACCTACTTGAACAAAGGCAAACCAGTAGCACCATGGCCAAAATACAGATCTGCATTCATCTCATTTTGGTTTGGGATGAGTTCTAATTTAACCCTTGGGTGGTTTGTCATTCATGATATGGCAGTTTGAAAGGGACATGGAGGGAAGAACCATTCTTCTTCTGGAAAGATATTAATAGGATCATGAACTCTTAAATGGGTACCTTGGGTGAGATGAGAGCTCCCTCTTTGTAACTGATTCTTGCAATAGAAATCATAGATTGCCACTGCCTCTGTTCTACAAGAAATACCTAGGTCGTAAGTCCTGTGTAACATTCTTTGTTCCAAATGTAGAAACTAGAAACTCCATGACTCTGAGGTAAATGATAGGTAAATAAACAATTTCAGGATGATAATTTGCCATGTCATTAACTCTTCTTTCATCCTGTTTTGTCCTAATTGTAAAACAGCTGCCCACTTGAAGTCCTGGGACTGGTGTGTGTGTGTGTGTGTGTGTGTGTGTGTGTGTGTGTGTGTGTCTGACACAGTTTGTCAGATTCAAATGTCCATGATCTTTAGTTTCTGCAAATGCTGCTTCATCCTCCCTAGGTAAATAAAATGTCAGGATGATAATTTGCCATGTCATTAACTCTTCTTTCATCCTGTTTTGTCCTAATTGTAAAACAGCTGCCCACTTGGAGTCGTGGGGTGTGTGTGTGTGTGTGTGTGTGTGTGTGTGTGTGTGTGTCTGACACAGTTTGTCAGATTCAAATGTCCATGATCTTTAGTTTCTGCAAATGCTGCTTCATCCTCCCTACTCTGTAACATCAACCCTACCAATTAAAATGACCTATACTCAAGGTCAAAACATTTTTCCAGTTGGTCCCTTTTAGTTTATGTAGGCAATTAAATGAGTTGATACGTGAAAAATGATATACTTATTAACAAATCAGTACCACTGTTAGCCTACAATATGTGTTACACCATAGATACAATGTAGTTAGTATAATGCTATAAGATTCCTTTAAATCACTTGAAAATGTTTACAAAACATTTGACAGTTACCCAGAGAGAGGTAAGACACATGCCATGAAAGTAATCCTGTCGTCTTTCCCTAACTAGTACCATTCTTAGCGCTTACTAGGTATGTGGCCAGAGATAGGTGAGTTAATTGTCAAGGACTTCAGTCTTCCTGTGTGTACAAAAGAGGAACTGCTCTTCACCCTTTTACTGTTTACCTACCCGTATTGAAATTCTCAGAGGGGGCTATTTTTGCCCAATCACTTATATGATTATTTAGAGGATTGTTTTTAAAAACATAAAATAGTATTTCAAAGATTATAAATTACTATTTCTATGGAAGGTATTTTCATTCCACAAGTCTAAATCTCCAGTCTGTACTTCCTCCTCCTTCTGGTTGATTTTAGGAAATCAATGGATCCCACAGTTGATGGGTGGTTAATTTTTGTAAGCTGCTTTAAACCAACCAGTAGTCTCTTATTCTCCATGAATTTCACGGTAGGTGTTCTCTGTAGCTACTTTAGGAAGTGATATGATTGAGAAGAAATACTATGAGAGTTTTTATTAAATTTTATTGTGTAAGTTTTATTTCTGTGTGTGTGTGTGTGTGTGTGTGTGTTCAGGGCTGTAGAAAATGAATTCACTTAGGAGCTTTGGAAAGGTTACAGAAATTCTGGGTCAATATCCATATTATGTAATTAGCAAACAGTTTAAGGAATATTGGTTGGAAAACTGCCCCCAAATTTACATATCAATATTAACTAGAGCAAATAGCAAGATAATTACAAGTCAGTATTTGGGGAACAGAGCAACCCAGTTTAAATCCCAGTTCTGTAATTGCTGAATGACTTTGGGAAAATTGCCTCACAACTGTGACCTTCTAGTTTTGTGGGTTTTTTTAAAATTTGTTTAACATTTTTCCTTGCCAACTGATTTTATGAAGTCCATCTCGGAGAGGTGTAGTGTTAAATAAGAGAATAAAATTACTTGTTAGTATCTGAGTGTCCGTCATTTTGTTTGCCTCAGCTGCGTTACGTGAAGAGGAGTCATTTGGGGCCACATTAAAATTTATAAATAGTATATACTTTAACTTATTTCAACAGAGTAAATTATTTCACATCATAAGGCAAGCTTGTTGAATAATTAAATAAGAAAACTTCAGTCTGTTTGATGCAAATAAACACCTACCTTCCCCGGCCCACATGCCTGGATAGATTGAAAAACTTTTCCTGGTAATGGCTGCATTTTACTAGCCATGTTACATAACCACATGAGGAGTCTGTTACACTTGGGTTGGATTCATCCAAGAGTCTCAGGCAGCGCTGCAGGGCACCCTCCCTAGGAGGGCATTCTTTTGTTGCCTACACAGCCTGTGCCAGAACAGCATACAATGGAGTCCCAAAACCACTACCCAAATCACTTCATGGTGTTAAAAGTGCTTCATCTTGTGAGGCTGCTTTACCACATGGTTGCGTATGGTCCACAGGCAGCAGGTCGGGTGGGCCTGGATGACTACTTAGCCTGAGAGTTACAAAGGGTAAAACAAATATCTGTGATTATTGAAGACTTCAGTAACCTTTTGGCTAAATCTCTACTGCAGTGGACTCTACCTTTTAAATAGTTTGGTTTCTGTAGTCGGCTGTCAGAAGTCATTTGACTACGGATGTGTTCAGACTAAAAACACCCAACATGAAGAGGAGTTTAGAGTAATGAGCTTGTTGCTAGGAGGAGCAAACACTTACTGCCATAGCAGAAGGGAAGGGAACGAAATGCGTGGTGCACTAGTTAAATTCCAAGTACTAAGCCTGATGTGTACTTTTCTCATCCGGCTCTTTAAACACGCTACTTCACTTTCCTTGCCACCTTGCTTGACAGGCAGCTGAAGGTGGAAAGGAGGAAACAAACTGGCCCTGGTGATGTGGCTGCTGCCCGGTGCCACTGAACCTAAAGCTTAGCAGCAGTTACAAAACAACAGCCGGTAGTAAGAGAGAGCCCAAAAAACCAAGAATATGATGTTTCAAGTCATACCGTAGGCTTCAGAGTTGTGGGGCTTTTTATTCAGTAGCCAAGGTCTGAACCCTGGTGTTTCTAAAATAAACCTGGATGCTTGGGTCTTTTACAAAAAATATGTAAATGCCGTTGCTAAACACGACAGCTTTAGTAAACTGTTATGGAATACAACTTGTCTTTGATCATTTTTCTTTTTCTTGTAATGTTTTTCAAAGACCAGCGATCCTCTCAGCCATCCCCAGAGCTCTGAGGAATATGCTGACTTCATACTGCAAGGAATAGAAATGTGTACTAAGTAAATGTTAAAAGGTTAAAGGTCTAGGAAAATTGTACTTGCAATTTTATTGAATTTAAACATTAGAAACATATAACTTGATACACAGAAATACGTGCCACCGCTGTTTATAGATATATAGTTCTGTTCACCAAAAGGGCATGAGTCGATGGAGATCTGAGGTGGGTGAAAATGTTAAAACCGATGTTTTTTGACTTCTAAAGCCTTCTGAAATACTTCGGAGACTTTCCGAACAGAAAGGGTACTAATTGTTAGAGCAAGAAGGAGGAAATGTTATCTTAAATAAATTTTGTTTCTCACTAAAGCACTGCACTCCTCCCAAAATAAAGTAAGGCAAAATACAGATAATAGATATACTGATTTGCTTGTTATTTCTAGGTGAGTAAAGAGGTCAACTGGAATATACATCCTCTCAAGGGGCGAGCCTTTAGTGGCTTCAATACTTGTTGACAAGTGGTCATAAGGAAAAATGAGCTTGAAATGAACTCTTTTATTTTGCAGCTGAAAATCAACTTTGCATCTTAATTTAGCTGTGTGCTCAGGCTATTGTCAGAGCACAGATGTAGTGGTTTCCAACCTGGGGCCATTTGCTAAATTGATAGGAAACAAACAAACAAACAAACAAGCAAATGCTTTTCCAGACATTGTAGCAAATTGTTCCTTTTTTTTTTTTTTTTTTTTTTTTTTT